GATGATGTGATATATCCCGAACTCGTTCATACGATAATTTTCATTCCTTCTCACTGAACTTGCATCAGTTATAGGAAGAACTAAGAAATCAACGGCTATTCATTAGATTATTAACATATCTACGAGAATTCGTAATTGAAACCGAATGCACTCGCTCATTCCTGTTAGGCCTATTCAAAACGCCTATCTTTTTCTGACATTCGTAAAAGGTATTTTTCGGACTAATGCGCCTTCTAGGAAAGAAAATGCATGCTGTTTACATTCATGGGGTGAAATGTACCCTGATGTCCTTAAAAGTTCACGTGATGATGTTCTGGTGGAGTGCTCTAGAACTTTGAAGTGAACTATGATGTTGTCGTTCTGTGCTCCAAGGGTGCAACAATTCACCACAGACGAGCAAAGGTCAATTTGAAGACGGAGTTAAAGTACATTCTTTTCACATTCAGTTCATTAGTAGTACGACTGTGAGGTTTCCCTTCGAAACGCTTATGCATTATAAATCATTACACTTCGGCTTTTGTTGATATTTCAATTTGTTGTTATGTGATTTATGATAAACCAACTTATGAAATTATGATTTACGATAAAATTTATGATAAACAACTAAGAAGAAGGGATCGTCTTCACAGAACAATCGAAGTAACATCAGTTGAAGTTCCTAAAGTGATAAACGTTTGCAATTGATAACTTCATCATCGAATGGATATTCATACTGATCCCTGCCTCATTTCCATTTCTAGCCCTGACAACATTGTTTCTAAACGAAAACTTGTCACTCTCGTCACTCCAGTTGAAGGAATTTCTAGGATATTCATTCGCTTTATTTGATTAGCGCAACATTGTTTTTCTCCGTTTCTCGTCCCTCAATATTCATTCAAAATTTATATCAATTTCAATTCCGTCCCATTTTACTGTTTTCGAAACGCATAGCGTTCATTCAAACAGACAGATGTATATAAAAATAATGAAAGTTTGTGATTGACAACATCGACTAGCATGGGTATGGTGCGAGCACTACAAAAAAA